CTCCGGCCGGCGCGGGCGAGGCGACGAGCTGCGGTGTCATGGAGACTCCCACAGCCCCAGCCTGGCCCGCACCCGGGATCCGCAGGGGTTTTAACCGCCTGGGTATAAACTTGGGGGAATTCTGTCACATCCGTAGCTTCTCATTGCCTCTACTGTTTTCATACACTTTGCAGATTTTAATTTATCTACATAAGTAGTGAAGCTATTTGCATTCTTAGATTAAACTTAGATTAACTTTCAGATTTCCTGTATAAAATCCAATTTATGTTTTTTAAACAACTTAACTTTGTAGCGTTTTCTCTACCCATCAGTATCAGTTAAACTGTTGGGTAAGTGAACTGCCAGTAAGGAATTTCTCACTATGCAGAGCGCAGTTCCCAGGCTGGGCAGTGCAGGTCATTTCAGCACAATCTATGGCCAGAGACAGACTCGCAGTGTATTACTGCTGTGATGACCCAGTAAAGGGATGAGAGTTTGAGTACTCAGTGTGAGCATGATGGCCTCACTATAAAAAGACCCCATGATTACAGTCAGCCTATGCACATTAAGTTACAGGACCAAGGCCTGTAGTATTAACAGTACCAGAGTCTGAAAGAAAGCTCGAGGACTCACAGAGATAAATGTGCTGATTGATAGTATAGTTCAATCGTGTTAAAATACTGTGTCTCTAGATGAATACTGATAATCTTTACCTTCTCTTGTGTACAGAGTACAGACAGTAAAACTGAATTCCAAGAGAACTGAGGAACTTAAAGCTCATGAGAAACTCATTTCTCATTTGCTCAAGTCTTAGAGACAAAAATGAGTAGGTGAATAATACTTTATTACATACCTTCATTGGTGATGTGTAGTACTTAGCATGTCAGACTCTGTTAGTGTGTGCTGCTTGCACTGTAACTGCTTCTGTGCGTTGTTCTTGCTGTGGTCGTTCCACTTGGAGCTTACTCATATCCTTAGTAAAACAGGCATGATAATTAGATGTTGAAAAACCTGTTACCAACAGGTATGTTTCCCCTCTTAGTGTAGAACTATTCATTCGAAGTATTTTAAATGCCCGTAAACATCCAAGTGTGACTTCTCTTACATTTTTGGGATATTGGCCTGATTTTCAGCACTCTTAAGTAGGAAAAGGTAGCCTGAGAGAGTACTTCAGCTGAAGGCAGAACAGATCCACTGTTTTGAGTTTGATCTTAATTTTTAATAAAGGAGTTGACAAATTTGAAAGAACCTCTTCCTTACAGGGTTGACCAATAGCAGATCCAGTTCTCTTAGGTATGTATGAAAGATCCACATATATAATCCATGCCTCAGTGTTGCCATTTTATTGATACAGTGATTATAAGTGTGGAAGAAAATGGGCATAATCTAGTCAATACAGCCTGGAGCAGCAAGAGTTTGTCCTGATAAAATGGATATGATTCTGATAAGGAAGTGTGTTTCATTGCAGCTTCTCTAGTGGAAACGAAACCAGACCTTGTACAGAACTTTTAGTAGCTGATCGATCTCCATGCATCTCATCACTGTATGTTAGCTGCTCCTGAACAACTTTATTTGTGCAACATATTTTGCTGGAGAAACCATTGAGACCAGGTCAGTTAGGAGTCAGATATCTGCAAAAATTTAGATTCAAAATCAGCTGGTTATGTTTATATCTGAAGGAGCTGATTTGGATTCTGAGATCAGTGTCTTCCCAAAGCCTGCTCAGAGAAGGAAAAATAAAGTGCCTCATTCATTTGAGTATAAGGAAAAATCAAGTCACAAGCACATCTTAAAATTTAGTAGAAGCTTAAGGAGTTTTAAGGGTTCTTGTGAGCCAAGACTCTGAGCGGTCAACTGACAACTAGCGGTTAGCCTGTATGTTCTAGTTAGGGATTTCGTGCTGCATAAAACTGCAAATGCTAGTTTTAGTTTCACAGTTAAAGTTCTGTATAGAAAAATGAATTAAAACCTAGTGTAAGTTGACATCTTACGTTAACTTACGACATATGCTGTGTGTAATTCTATTAAATAGGCTGTTGAGATTTTTTTTCCTTTAGGAAATGTTATTCCTAATCCATCCTTACTCATTTTACTGTAGAACAATTTATGAATTATGGTGCTCTGGGTGGCCAAAGAGTAATACCTCATTCATCAGACACTGTGATTAGTGGCTCATGTTTTGAAGAAAGGTTTATAAATTTCTTCAGATCGGGAAATAAAAGTAAGTTCAGTATTGAACTTGTCTAGCAATTTAAAGACCTGCAGTTATAACTTACTAACCACAGCAGAAAAACATGGAAAGCCAGGTGTTATTCTGGGCCAAAACTCAGATTTGGCTTTTATCTACTAGTTCTACATTCATATAGACAGGTTCCAGAAGAACGGCCCATATCAAGGTGTGTCAGCAACTCTTGAGAATTTACTGGCATCTTTTGCTTTCCATGTTCATCTTCTACATAATCTTGGTTGGTTTTCTGTCCCTCATACGCACACAGCCACAGTAATGTTATATTCATCTATCTTTTGGACTACATATTTAGGTACAATATTCTGTCAGAACACAACCAAATGCTGCCACTTAAGATTAAGAAAATGCAGTTACGTAACAGAGCAAACATTGAAGATATATTTGGAAAGGACTTAGCTTCAAAGAAAAAGTCTATTTACAGTTCCAAGGGGGGGGAAGCCAGGTAAAGACATGCTCTGGTGGTAGGATTAGACAAGCAATGCTCAAATCTTAGTAAGAATGAAACCTTTCTTGTAATTCTGTGAGGTTGTAAGAAGTTCTGCTGTTTGAGGTAAAGAAGCTTTTAGATTGGGAAGGTCCTTTACTTTGGGACAGAGCGTGTGGCTGTGTTTTGTTTCTACTGAATGCAGTTCTTCAAATGAATTTTCTGCCTTGTTTTCAGCACTTAACTATCTTCCTGAAAAGTGAAGTTGAACATTTAAGATGAGTGGAGTATGGGATATATTATTGATTTTATGTATTAAAATTAGTATTTGAGGACTTCAGTATATACTTCCTAGAATTATCTGAAAATCAGTGTCCTAAGGAAGGATTTTTGCTGAGTTTATCAACTTCAAAAAGCTGCTAAATAATTGGAAAATTAGCCCGTACAGAATCTGTGTTTAAGCAGTGAGTTATCTATCTGGGTGTTGTCTAGTCTGACCTTGGCATGCCAGAACTTGAACCGAAGAATCATCATTAGACGTGTATCTTGCCTTGGTTTTGCATTTATTTCCAACATGAACTTATCAAAGGCTTGGGTTAACTTAGTATCTTTATTTGATAACCAGTTCCTAGACCAAGAACAGTCAGCCTAGCAATACTATACACAGTGATAACTTCAAAGAATAGAGCTGTGTGCCATGGGAAGGGATCACGTTCCTATCTCAGCTTCTTATTTTTGTCTGCACACGCTGACTTCTCTCCTTGCACAAGCTGTGTAGCCTCTTTGCCTCTTCAGCAAGCTGAAATGACTCCAAGAGCTTGGACAAGTACTGGACTAGCAGGGGAAAGAGGGAGGTAAATCAGGACCACCTCATCTGGTGGCAGTCAACTACAAGTAGGTTAATTTGGGTGAACCTTCATTCTGAGGTCACTGGCTGATAGTTTTTTGGTCACACTTGTCATGCCGGCCATCACCTTGAGGGTGGACAGGAAATGCCCTATATTCATCTTGTCAAAGACCACGTGGGCTTTCACTGCTAGGAAATGATTTATTTGTTGGGATCATTTTAGCATCTGTCTTCTAATTAGTTACCCTCAATTTCTTCAGTATTGCTAGGACCTTAATATCTCACCGCTTCAGAGGGAGCTCAGTTCTTCCCTTGCCACCCCTAAGGGCTAAAATAGCTTACCATGTACTCGATGCAAAGATTTTTGGTTGGACTGTCTATATGAAACTTAATGGACTGCTCTATGCAGTGTGTTGGATGCAATGATGTAATCGTCCCTTCTGGCTAAACTCTGCTTAGCTATTTCATGGCTTTGTGGAGAACACTAGCAAAGGAAAGCAGAAGGACAATGAAACCTAGGAGTTGAAGACCTGCAGTATGTCCAAGAAGTATCAACTGTAACAGTAGCAACCTTCCCGTTCTCAGCTTCTCTCTTGCCAAGACATTAGAAGTCACTTTTCCATGGGTGTAGTGTGTATTTGCAGAGGTTTGTGCTAAGGTAGTGATAAATAATTAACCAGTACTAATTTCAGATAAGTCAGCTATGTTTTCATAATCAGCTGTAACAGCAGAAAGTGTAACAAATTTGCTGGTTATGATGGTTTTGAACATTCTTAAGTCAGCATTTTTTTTGTTGTTATTTTCTTACTTTTCTGTTAGCATCGTACTGCTAGCACTCAAAACTACCTGGAGTGGTTTCAAATAATTCTGACACTTTGGGAGCATTAATTTATACTGCTGACTGACCAGCCACTCTGTTTATCTCAGTGCTATATAGAGCTGGTAAAAGAGGACCCTTGTGGATGATTAACATTTAAATAGTGGCAGTTTGAGCAGCTACATTTTTCTTCTAACTTCTGGCAAAAATAGTTTTCTGTGACTTTAGAAAAACTTTTTTCCTTTTATGTTACAAATAATTTCCTTGCATTACAAATAATTGCCCAAAATAAGTGACAGATTGTTTCTTTTTGCCTTAAATATATGTATCTTTCTATGTAAGTAATTATGTTTTAATAGTAATAATATAGATTAATATCAACTACATAGATGTATTTATAAATACTGATGCTTTAGTGTTATAACAACATTCTTCCAGATTATGGCAGGCCAGATCAGGTACTGGAGCTCATTTCATTACCTACAATTAAATTACATCCAGAATTTTTCATCATAGCTAAATCTTTAAGTACATAAGTTTCAGATAGTTTTATACCAGTGCTAATTCACACCGAGATAGGTTCAGTAGTAATACAGATAACTGTAACTGTAACTGTATTAAAAGTCATTGGAATGTAATTGCACTCTCCCTACCTTTTTTTTTCTTCCCACCTTCAGGAAAATATTGATAGAGACTTCTGAGAGGCTGTACCATCCTAGAAGGGACATAAGTAACACCATTAACATGCCTGCTGTGGCATCTGTACCCAAGGAGCTCTATCTCTGTACTTCACTGAAAGATCTCAACAAGAAGACAGAAATAAAACCTGAAAAGACAAGTACCAAGAGGTACATCTGCTTTAGTGATTTTGGATTAATATGAGAAGTATTAGTGCTAATCTTCTGAGCAGGTTCCAGAACAACCATGTTCCAACGATATTTCCTCATTTTTTTCTGTCAGATATAAAATCTTTGATAGTCTTATGTATAGATCTCTCAACTATCATATCAGATATGCTTGCTGCCTACAGAAGGTGACTTCACATACTGCTAAAACATGACTTGGACAGAGCATGAGGCCGTGAAAATTTGAATACTTTGAGAAAATGGTATAGAAATGCAAAATCTTAAATTATGAAAAGTGTCACAAATCTATGAATATGAAATATTTTGCCTCTAGCATTTTTAGGCAATCAACTATTTCATTTTGTCTTACTACAAATTAGTTTTTCCTTAAAAAAGATATTATTTTTAGAAGGGAGAAGTTTCCTGCTAAGTACTTTTTTCCGTATCTCCATATGCTATTTAATTATTAGGAATTTTAAATAAGTCTAGTAAACAGACTAGAAAAGAGAAACATCATTTGGAGGAGCTTGATTGCAACTCATATTTAATGAAAGCCTTACATCTTACATGGTAAAATCAAACAATATATGGGCAGAGTCTGTGAACACGTAAGATGACATCTTGTAATGAAAAGGTGTTTGGGGACAAGTCAACAACCACATGCTGCAGTCCTTTTCTTTTATTTCAGTTATGTGCAGAGTGCTCTTAAGATTTTCAAGGCAGCAGAGGAAAGCAGATTGGACCGAGATGAAGAAAAAGCTTACATCCTGTATATGAAATATGTGACCGTTTATAACTTTATTAAAAAGAGACCTGATTTTAAGCAGCAACAGGTATGAAAGCTTTCTGACTGACCTCTTCTGTGTTGGTAGAAGTATTGGAAGTACACAGAAGTACAGTAGTGGACATTCAAAGGATTACACTGGGGTTAAGTAAACTGTCTCGTCATTTTTTTCCCTATTTTGACAAGGCTATTGTTAATTGCTTTTACAGTTTGCTCTTAATACACAAGGTGTACAAATTGCCAGACCTGTAAATATTTTTTCAGGAAAAGGTATTGCTGTCATCTTTCCCATTGAAACTTTTTTGGTGCAGTTGCCTTGCCAGTTTATTTATTAGTGCTATAAAACAATTTTACGTGCAAACTCATGTTTCAGAGGAAAATATTTTGATTCAAAACAGTTCATTTTGTTTGCATTAATATCATTATTTGATATTTATCAAATTTTATATTTATAAAATATCATATTTATTAATATTATTTCTTTGTACATTACCAGCTCTTGATATGCATAGAAGTAGGCATTATTAAGCTGTACTATTAATATCTGGGGTGATGCTTATAATTTTAGGATTATTTTCATTCAATTCTTGGACCTACAAATTTAAAAAAAGCTATTGAAGAAGCTGAAAGACTCTCAGACAGCCTTAAACTCAGGTACGTGAATTCAGTTAATTGATAAGATACTCATTGTACATGAAGCCTGTACATGTGCAATTGCAGGTTTTTATGCAATGTAGTACTAAGGGATTGCACTTGATTAGACCTTTGATACCTGAAACTCTTGAGAGCTTAAATTGTTTATCCACAGAAGTCTGTTATTAGAGATAATTTTAGTCATTGCATACTCCCAATAACTTGCCACTTATACATTGTCTCTTGATTCTTTGTGACTATGGTTTGTTGTCTTTTTGTTTAATGACTAATAAAAGAAACCACAAGATATAAACTAAATATACACTAGAGATGATTAAGAGCCATTTCCTCCTTACCCTTTTCATCATAAGATCATCTGAAAACAAATATACAAATGAATGTTCCTAATATTTACATATGTTAGAAAGTCCTCCTAGTGTGCATTTAGTTTACACTGACAAAACACATTTTTTATTCTTTAGCTGGGTGCTATGCCTTTTCTCTACCTCTGCCACGTGCAGACACAGAAATACACAGTTTTACCAGTCTGTAACTGAGCCGATGCTAATGGGCTTTCGGGTAGCTCATTTACAACTGTCAAGTTGCACGTCTTTGTGCCATAAGCCACAGAATCGGGGTGTTAAGAAGTTGCAAGGCAGAATCTATCTGTAGTTGATATTCAGCATGTCTTGCATCCAGCCTCATCTGCTTCTCATATCCTTAGCAATTATCTTTCTCACCCTTTTAATTCTTCCCCCTTCAGCTAGATACATTTTCCTTCCTGCACATCCCCCCTCAGGTATTATTGTGAAAGCAAACTCCAAAGTGCTTAATCTAGAAAGTTAGTTTAGGTTAACAATGAAATAAGAGTGTAGTTACACACACATGAAAAGAGACTTTCTAAAGATGTTTCATCATACTGTGCATGAAATCTTTAGATTTTCTTTGTTTTTAATTAGTCTTACAATTCAACAGAGCTACAAATTCACTGTAAGAGTATACACTGATAGAGTTATAGAAAACCAAAATTATTTTGAGACTTGCTGTTTAGTAACTTGTGGATTTTGATGAAAGGGAACAGCATTTTGAAAGTTGTCAGATTTACTAACTTTCAGCTACCCTGGGCAAAATGTATGTGTATTTTTAAAGTTAATACAAATGAAACATGACTCTTGTGTAACAACAGAAGTGGTTTCAGAGCAGTGGTTTGTGTATTTTCTTCTCCAGGCAGTAGAATAGTTTAAATGTTAGCAAATAGTTGAAATGTTAATTGTTAACCAAAAGTGGAGCTGTTGCAACACAATCTGTGTAGGAGCGGGAATATCTACATGAATGGCCTACAGTGTGCTTCGAAGGCATGTCAGTGGGTAAATGGGAAATTGATGGGTAAATATTCCATGTTGGCCGAATTAAATTAAATGCTTTAGTGCTGTTAACTCCAGATGAGAACAGAATGCTCTGTTTTAACTTACCATGCCTTTGCCAAATTCAGAAGCCTCTTTAAAAAATAAAATTACAGACTTGCAGCCTCCTTTCTATTAGTGGTACAGACTTTGAGGCAGAATTTAATGCAATGATCCAGTTTATTAAAACAGTACTCTTGATATGAAATACAGCTGTATTATCATTACTATTTCAATCTTGATTAGGCAACATCTGGTTAAAATGAGCAATTAGTAATGCAGTTCAGCGTTCATGTTTCACTGCTTAGTTCAGTCATCAACACTGCGATGTTAGCTCTGTTGTAAAAACAAATACAATACCCGGGATGATTGTTATATTGAAGTTTACCTGTAAGTCACCAATGCTTACTCTTTCCTCTACAAAATGAAAAAACTATTACATTTAGTGACACCATAGCTAAGCACGACCCCAGGTTTAGAGAAAAAAAATTAATTAACCTTAAGAGCAGTAGGTATGAAATAGGACCCAAAACAGGATTTAAGAATAAGAAAACCAGCCTATGAGTGGGAGAAACAATATCCTGCAGTCATGGTAGAAAATGGGGTTTTTTGCAAATACAAAAATTGACAGTACTTGAACTTTCTTTTCAAACTTTAAATACTTCCTTCCCCCAGCCCCTAAGACTTGATGATTCTGATATTAGTCATCTAAGACTGGCCAGTAGTGTAATAGTAAGGGGGGAAAAACAGCTTGCTTGTTTGTTTGTTTAAATTTTTCAATAGATATGAGGAAGCTGAAGTTCGAAAAAAACTTGAAGAGAGGGACCGACAAGAGCTGCAGAAAAAGCAAGAACCAAAAGATGATGGAAAGAGTTCAGCCAAAAACAACTCAGAAAGCACAGTGGATTCCAAAGGAAAAAGCCAAAGGGTAACTGAAAATGTTTATAAACTCTAATTCAGTCTAAATGTGTAGATTTAATCTAGCATTTGATGTCTATTAGTATCTATTTCCAGTTCAGCATTGTGTTTTTAAAAATTAGCTTACATTCCTCATAACCCTTCTTTGACATTTCTTTGGAAGGTACTGAGTCATACCAACCTCCAAGTCTTGCAGAAGATGGACTAGAGACTACAGTTTTTGTAAAGTTAAATTCTATTTTATAGTAAAATTAGCTAGTGTAAGAAACCTAAGGTAATGGTGGTAAGCCAATGTTACGGGTAATGTGTCTCCTCTTTAGGAAAGAGCTGACTTTTCAGTAATAGTGTGGAAAGAAGCTGATTTCTCCACAAATGCTTCATGAATTTCATCTAGCAGATGATGCTGTCCTAGGTTGTATTACCTTTGTAACCAGTTTCTTTCTAGGTAGAGCCAAAACCTTGGTATCTTTTTAGTGCGTTTGTCAACACATCTTTAGAAGAAGCTTCCTTATTCTCAGTTTCTTCCTATGTCTTACAGTCTGGCCAGTTTCCCTCAAGCTCTGTGAGAGTCAGTGTCTGTTGTCCACTTCATTTCCAAGTATTAGATATTAAACTCATTTTATTTTTTTTTTACAACACAGATTAATGGTGAGAGGAAGCATTCACTGGAAAGAAAGGATCAGCCTGACAGTCTGAGCGGTAAGAGTTGCGATGTTCACACAGATATGAAAAGCTCTCCATATACCTATGCACGTATCAATTAAGCAGTCACAGTTTTTTTAGGGAGTTATTTCACAGAGTATTTTGATGAAATTCTAGTATCCTGCATTTCAGCAACAGCAACTTAGTAATTAATTAAGCTCTGTATTGCAGCTGTCATCACTCCTCTTGAACTTAGGAAGCTGTACTTAGTTTTTAAACAGTTTAATAAGCAAAGCTGAACTAGCCTAGCCCTTAAGTGGTCAAAGTAGAAAGAAAAATGTTTCCTCAACTGGAAAGAAGAAAATTGACGCAAGACTGAAATGTGTCAGCTTTCTCAGTTAAATAAGAATTTTTTCCTTTCCCCTCTCAGCCTTCTGATTTTTTGTTCCTGTAATAAATGTGAAAATGTTCTCTAGAGTCCTTAACTGAAGGGGAACATCTGCAGCATGCAGTTCACAAATACTCGCCTACATAGCTTGACTTAGATTAGACCACAAGAAGTTAAAACTAGTTTATCACTAAAGGGCTCAGTATTGTCTAATTCAGCAGATCAGGTGCTAATCACTAGAGTGGTGTGAGCAAAAGGACTAATATGTTTATGGTGTCTCACCTTGATGACTTTGTGGGACTCTTCTATGATATTTCATTTATTTGCAGTCTTGATTGGACTAGTCTGATGTGAACATAGTGATGTCCATTTATAATGCAGCTTTTTGCATCTAATAGCTTCTGTATTTCAAGGAGCAGTCACAGCTGAGAAACTGTTTGCAATGATGTCGGACAAAAATATTGAATTGATTATAATGGATGCTCGAAGACTGAAGGATTATCAGGAATCCTGTATTCCAAGATCTGTCAGTGTTCCAGAAGAAGCTATCAGTCCTGGGTATGAAATAACGTTGAATGATATTGAAATATTTATTTTATAAAGTTCTAAATTGACTGAAAAAAGATTATATGTTTTTAAAGCTTGTACGTTTGGTTCTTGGAGTCCCTGATAGATACCAGTGGATAAGATGCATCTGGATGGCTCTGTTCTTGCATGTACCGACTTCAAACCGGAGCATATCTGTTCTATCCAAGCACATCAGCATATATGGATTATGTAGCTTTGGATGAAGCATTACTTGTACATTTGTCTCTAAATGCATGTTAATACATTTCAGAGTTACTGCAAATTGGATTGAAGCTAGACTCCCAGAGGATTCCAGAGATCCATGGAAGAGGAGAGGGCACTTTGATTATGTTGTACTGCTCGACTGGTTTAGTTCTGCCGAAGACTTAAAGCTAGGAACAACTCTTCAGAGCCTGAAAGATGCACTTTTTAAGGTTGGCAAGTTTCATGCTTTAAATTAATTCATGTCAATAAACAAGAAGGTCTTAAAACACCTGTAATTACAAAGTATATGGAAGACAATAACACCTTAGACAAACATCTTGGTTCAGTTTTCAGAGACTGCTTTTTTTGATAGCAGAAGTTTCACATTCCTGTGCTTGTGTTCTAGTAGACGACAATGCAATTTATTAAATAGGTAAACAGCAGAATGATTCAACTCCCATCCTCAACAACTAGCTCATAAACTTAGAGTTCCTGGTTGACAGAGTTATTTGGAAAAGTATTTAATATTGTTTTCCAGAAACACTGTCACTCTTTTTCTTATATTAGCAACTGTAGTTCCTTTCATGGGCACTGGCTGGCTACCTGCATAGGCAGGCCAAGAAGGCTGCAGTCCAGCCAGGCACTTCCTAGAAAGGAGCAGGTTTGGTGAAGGAGATGCCAGAATATTTTGAGCATGGTTAACTTTTGTGCGTTATGGGAAATAACTTTTAGAGAAACATAGATTTAAATGTGAGCTACATCAGTGTGAGGAACTTAGAGACTCAGTATCAAGCAGGTGCTCAACATTTCCAAGTCAGAACTCTGGCTACAGCTCTGTTGTTCCTACTGTTTATATAGGTGGCTCTCATGAAGGACTGCATATCTTTCTGTTACCTAAGCATACAAGACTGGGTTTCAGAGATAGTTCAGGCAGTTCTCCCTGTTTGGTGCTTTACAGAATATTCTCTGAACCACTGAGCCTTGTTCATATTCTAATGCTGAGGACCTCAGGAGGAAGCCAGTCTGGAGTCTGACTTTTCAGGGGTTTTTTAGAAAGTTAAGGTTATGCTTTCTAAATCCAGTGCCCCGAATCACTCAGAAAACTTACCAGATAAGAAACTGAAGCATTTACTATAATAAAATTTTTTCTGCGTGTAGGATCATTACCTGAAGTAGTAGTAAGTGGTTCTTTCCATACTGGAAATACTCAGACCCTGTTGTATGTAGGGCCAGGACCCTAGCTGTGCTGGGCGTTCTTCAACAATGGAGAGGATCCCTGTTACCCAAAGGGTTTTTGCAGCCTGTTTAATTTTTACTTAAAAGTCTCAAAAGTAATCTCTCTTAAAGTAATAACTGGACACAGAAATTTCAGTAACACTTTTATGATGTAAAAGTTAGTTTTTAAATAATTTAATTTCAAACTTTTTTGTCCTATAGTGGGAAAGCAAAACAGTACTGAAGAATGAACCTTTAATTCTCGAAGGAGGTTATGAAAATTGGCTCCTTTGTTTTCCCCAGTACACAACAAATGCTAAAGTAACTCCACCTCAGCATAGTAGGAGTGAGGCAGTGACTGTTTCTTGTAAGTATAAAGATTGACCCTCCAGCCCCCCCAGGTGGTTATAATTCTTGGATTTATCTTTAATTCAGATATGTTTGGGATAGCCTTGTTCTGACTAAATCTAAACTTTGGGGTGGAACGTGGGGGTTATTTTTGTTTCTGTATTAAAAGCGCTCTCATGCTTCTCTCCTCTCCTCCCTCCTAAAGTGGATTTTACTTACCCATCTCTGGAAGAGCCAGCTCCTGTTCCACCTGTTGCCATTAAGCCATCTCCAACAGAAGTGATTGAAAATGAAGAACCAGGAGATAATTTGGAAGAGAGACTAAAATCACTTAACAGACCAAATGTACAGGATGCTGCTGTTCCACAATCTGACAGTTCTCTTGTAGTTAATCCAGTATCGATTACAAGAAGTATCCCTGAGGTAAGCTGTTTTTTTTCAGCATTAGCATATGGTCAGTCTACTGGAGACACACCACATGCAGAAGCCTAAATCCACAAGGAAACATACTCAGTATTTGTTTAAGCTTTGCACATCAAGACACTGGTACAGAGACTGCTGGTGGCCTGTGAAGCCATGGAAACTAATCTAAAGAACTTTATGAAAGTGAATATACTTAACGTAATTGCAGAGCTTTTCATGGATAGCTTCATATAAGCACCAGAGAAACTGAAGGTCAGCAATTGATCATTAATCCAGAAAGTCTATAAGCAAGTTTTTCAACAGAAAACATCCATATGATGAAATACAGGCAGGGCAGTTAGGCCATGGTTGCCTTGGCTATTCCAAAGGTCTGCCTTCCAGCAACTATGTCTTCTTTCAAATAATAAAGTACAGGGATTGATTTCTTCCTTTTATGGGGATAAACTTTTTAGAAAACTCCTTTCCACACCTTTGTGGAGTCCTTGCACTAAAATAATATTTTACTTACGAGACAAAGCTGAAGTCAGACTTCTTACCTTTCACCCTTCTAGATACTGCCTTGATTACAGACTTTAGCCAAGAAAAAAAAGACCTTATTTCCATTCTTCCCTGAACTTGACTAGCTTTTATTTCTTCAGAACTTCCACTTCAGCATCAAAACCAACTTCTTCTCCTAGGTCTGAGCATAAGCCATTTCCTCAATCACATGATTGAGAGCCAAGCGAAGATCAGGCTGCCTGATTGCCATAACATGTTCACCTTTGAAAGCCTGAAAATAAAGAATTGTAGTAATCGGTGCTTAATGCTGTCCTTATGGTTCTGTAGGACTTGTTGATTCTTATCTCACATCTGTAAGCTAAGTGAGTACCTGATTTTACTAACAAGCAATTTGAATTACTAGATTTAAAGAAATTGAAAGTTCACTACCTCTCTGGCAGGAGTCAATTTTATGTCATTTTTATTCTCATAAATTTCACTTGGAAAAAGGTTAGTTAACAGAGCCGTAATAGCTGTAGTGAATTGTTGTTCTACACTGTGTCTTACAGGTTGATCGTACTAAAAAGCCTTCACTAAAAATCCCTGATGAGAACAGACCAAAATCTGAAAGTAGAGTTAGTGACAGCCAACCTGTTGAGAATGGACGAATAGTTCCAGATCGGTCCACAAAGCCCCTACATGACGCAAAGAGCATTCTGACAGAAGAAGAAAAAAGTCACGTGCACGCAGAAACTGCTGCTTTGTTAGAGAAAAACAGACGGGAAAAAGAACTTCGGGAGAGGCAACAAGAAGAACAGAAAGCGTTACTCAAGCGAGAAAAAGAAGCACAGGAACAAAAAGCAAAAGAAGAACAGAAAGAAAAGCTACAGCAAACCAAAGAGGACAGAGAGCAGAAGGAGAAGGATGAGCAAATGAAAAGAGAACAGGAGGAAAAGGAACAAGAGCGAGCACGCAGAGAAGCAGCAATAGAAGCAAAAAAGCAAAATAAAAATGAACTAGAAAGCATTGGTGCAAAAAGGATTGAGATTGACAAAGTATCTATGGAAGAAAGAGAAAAGGGAATCCGAACACCAGAAACACAGAGGCGTACACTGGGTGATGCATCTCAGCCCTTTGTGACTGCTTCAGGCAAGGTTAGTGAAAAAGAGAAAATCATCACCAAATGTGGAGTAACTACTCAGGATGATTTGTGAGTGCATACTCTCGTATTAATCTAGAAACTTTGAATACATCATTGAATATTTATTTAGGTTATTTTTACATAATATAGAGGAGAAAGTTAAAACACAAATAGTTGGGGTTTTTTTTGCAAGACAGTCTCAATTCTTGCTTGTAGATGAGCAGCATAACATCCCAATAGGATGATGAAACTTTCCACTGACATTGAGGTAGCAGGGATTGTTCATAGGCTGCAGTCCTCTGTTTCAAATTGTATGGTGGCATTTTATCTCCTGTTCCAGCCCAGTACTGTATATTGCACTCTTGCAACATGTGCTAGGGACAGAACTCAATTATCATAACAAACTCTTTAGTGCCCTCAGCTGCATCAATGCTGACATAACAGGATTTTGTTGACTGGCATAGGAAGCAGAGCAATGCCCTGTTTTGGCTGAGAGCAGTCCAGTTCCAGCTTTTTGAAGGGAAGGTCACAGTTCCTTCTTTCCTCAGATCCTTGGAAAAAAATTGCAAAATTTCTGAGAGTGTGAAAGTCACCTGATCTTGAAACAGGAG